TATGCAAAAACCGAGATTCAAACTCAGAAAAAATAGCGCCGGGCTGTGAGAATAACAAGCTAGATGGTGTTAGGCAAAACCACACATCGCGTTGAGTGGGCGACGTGTGGTTCGCGTTGAACAGCCGAAGACGAAGGCAAAGCACTAGAACAACTAAGCAGACCGACACCACGTTGAATCGGTGGTGTGATCGGCGTTGGCGGGTCACGGCTGACAGTGATGGATTTCAGTGGGCCAGAGGACAGCTAGGCAAATCGACACCACGTTGAGTCGGCGGTGTGGTTGGCGTTGATTAATCATAGCCGGAACCAATGGCGATGGGTTTCAATGGGTATGAAAGCAGGGCCGAGATCTACGTGTTCGGAGCTTTGAAAAATGTTGCTAAGCCAGGAGGGCACACCAACGATGAGCTGAACAGCATTAGGCAAGGCCACACACGACGCGTTGAACGGACGACGTGTGTGGTTGGCACTGGACCGTCGAAAAAAAAATCAAGATCTCTTCATCAAGATGTGCAACAGCAGAAATTTATGGGTTACATTATCCAAAAATTTATAAATCAGAGTTTATACAAATAAGAAGTTCAAAAATTGATTTCACAAAATGTTTGCTCACGGATCAAAAATCATAAGAAGAAGAGTATGTTTGAAATTAGAGAAATCAAGAGTGAGAGGGATTTGAGTTTTCTCCTAGATTGGATGTATGAGACAAAACTTAGTCACAGCCTAAAGAAATAAAGAACGAGATTGGTAGAGCCAGCGCCGGGGACAGCCAAGACAGGTTGGCAGCAGCGTGAGCACTGATATTTCGAGAGCCAAATCAGTCCGAGAAATTTCTGGCTAGACCGACCAACGACGCGTTGAGAGGGCGGCGTGGTCGGCGTCAACAGTGACCTCACGAAGGCCGACAACAATGGCTTGTGTGGCCTTTGGTTCAGCAACTACGGAGCTCCAATTGAAGAAGAGGACAACTGGGTTGGTCTCTGTGTAAAGAGAGAGAGCCGAAGCCAAGACCCACGACAAAGCTGGGGGTGTCGCAGCACAGCGGCAAGACACCGCGGGTAACGACTAGCGTTGACAACGGGCTGGATAGCGACGAACTGGGCTGGTGATAGCCTGAGATGGTGGCACTTTGGGTCGCAGCAGCAGTGGTGTCCGGAGCCACGGCGTGAGCAGTGGGCGATACAGCATGGGTCAGACGCGAAGCTTGCAGGCCGCGCGAGTTGAGGTGGTCGCGCGGAGGACAGTGCCTTGAGTGACTCTTTCGCAGGCCGACGGCGGTGCCTGAGCTGCGACGATGGCCAGCATGAAGGCAGCAGTGGTCTTCAATGAAGAATAGAAATGCTGGCTTGCGAAAGAAGAAGAGAGCCGCCGCTCATGGTGGTCTCTTGCCTTTTTTGGAGAAAATGCAAGTTTAATGAGAAAGATTGTGCCACTGGTTTCAAAAGACCAAAAAAAAAAAAAAAAAAAAAAAAAAAAAAAAAAAAGACGAAGAAAGATAAGTCTCTCTCTGTGTAGAGAGAGAGCGCCGCTGCGCAACAAATAGGGTTTTGGCCCCTCAGAATATACTATTTATATATATCCATATATAGACGGGTCTGTTGTATTGCCAGCCCGGAAAAGAAAAAGTTTGGTTTGTGGCGTTATTCTATATATATAACATGTGCTTGCTGTTTTCAACCAAAAAAAAAAAAGGAAAAAAAAAAAAAAAAAAAAGTGTTTGGATCTTTTATTTCTAGAATTAAAAAAAAATGAATGCTTTATTGCTCTTTGACTTGGAGTAAAAAATGTTTGTAGCCCTTATCTCTTAAAAAAAAAAAAAAAAAAAAAAAAAAAAAAAAAAAAAAAAAAAAATAAATTTGCTCCCCATGGATTCCAATTTCCTCTCGAAGGTGAAATGGATAAGGAAATTAGTTCTTCAAGTTAAAAATCTCAAATGCCATCCTGTAAACTATGGTGGGTTGCTATTATAATAGCACTCATGATGAGGATGGGGCATGTGCAAGGCACATGGGATTATTTCTCATAACCACCATTGTCGACGGTAACCTCATCGAGGGTACTTCTCCGAGAGGTGACATCTCGAGGAAGTGCTAACTCCGAGGAAGGTAGACTCCGAGGATGTGACTTCTCCTAGGATGAGAAAACCCGAAGAGGAGATCATCTCGGCGAACCGCTATCTTTCTTTAGCCAACAGTAACAATGATAACCGCAATCATCCCAAAGGGTCCAGGGTAGTCCAAGGGACATTCCTGCGGCAAATATGCG